GAGAGAGAGAGAGAGAGAGAGAGAGAGAGAGAGAAAGAAAAAGAAAGAGAGAAAATGCGGGTGTGGGGTGGGGGTGGAGAGACATAGATGAGTTTCCAATTGTGGGTCACAGTTAAGAGGAGACAGAAAAACACGGAGAAATCGATGTTCTGAGTTCAAGGCCCAGGCTTCCAGGTTGACACAATGATAACCCTGTAACATTCTCCGAGTAGTGAACTCCACCAGCGTGCGTCTCAATTACTTCGAAAACTAAGAGAAAGCACGCAAGGGGTCTCCATCTTGAGAAACATTACACAACGCATCAAAGATTCTAAAGAGAAACCCACATCGGCGAAATAAATTGAAAGATGTAAAACGGAAAACGGACCCCCACACCCCCAAAGAAAAAAAAGCAACAGCGCGGCAGGAAAGGGGGGGGGGGGGCACAGAGAAAAATAAGCCACAAAGAAATATCGGTGATTTTTTAGAAGAATGAAAGCGCAGCGCAGGAGATAAGAGATGAAGAGAAAGGTGGATGGAATACAGTAGGAAGCAAAATACCCGAGAGGGTACCCGACAGCGGGAGCGGGGAATGCTTGACACATCTTTTCTGCGAACGTTATAACGGCCGTGCTGTAAGCAACACCAGCTGATCCTCTTTCCATTTGCTTACATTCTGTCGGTTTTCTCTTCCACGCCTCAACTTCGTGATCTTCCTGCTTATCAGTCTTTCTCTCTCAACTCTTATTTTTTCCCCCGTCATTTAAAGTTTTCATGCGTCGAAGTCATTTATTGGTAGGCTATTAATTCATCGATCCATCCATCCATCCATCCATCTGTGACTATTTTGAAATGGGAGGAGATAGAAACAAAGGCAGATGGCGAAGAGAAGAACTGGGAATGTGGAGACATACGGCCACACGTATATGTCACTTCCCTCCACCCCTTGCGGGTTTTTTTTATGATACTGTGTAAGATGGCCACATTTCTTCTCGACAATTTTTTTTTTTGGGGGGGGAGGGGGCGGGGGGCGTCGTAGACAATTTTGACTGCATACTGAACTCACTCATATAAACACAGAAATACTCTCTCTCTCTCTCTCTCTCTCTCTCTCTCTCTCTCTCTCTCTCTCTCTCTCTCTCTCTCTCTCTCTCTCTCTCTCTCTCTCTCTCTCTCTCTCTCTCTCTCTCCACACACACATGTACGCACGCACGCACGCACACACGCACGCACACAGACACATACATACTCATACATACTCATACATACATACATACATACATACATACATACATACATACATACATACATACATATAAACGTACTGAGAGAGCAGTAGCTTGGAAAAGTTTTGCCGTCACTGAGTTAGCCAATGGAAGAAAATCTCACTGTAAACACCCACTGACACCCACACAATCTGCTATTAAAAAACGGAGCTTAGAGGGTTTTTTTTCCCCTGTGCCTTTGCAGCACAAAGTATATGTAGTGGGCTAAAAACCCTCCCTGAAACAAAATTTTAACTCTGCGTTTAATGGCTTGATCGTATGATTCTTAGAGCGAATGTTTATCTACTATTTGAGGTATTCAAGATTTCAAGTAGCCTACTTGAATCAACATAACCTCAGAAAAGAAATCAGACAAATCCATTGTGTTCAAGATGGAGACATGGAAAGGGATGTCGAACTTGTCAACTAAACACCACAATGTACTGCTCATTGATTATGTTTCAATACGCTCCAAGCGAAATAAAAAGGTGCAGCTTCTCTGTCACTACATGAAATACAAATTAGCCATTGCTGCAGAAAGAAACATGAGAAGAGGTATAATAAGCCCCAAATCCAATTTATTATAAACATAGGTCAAAAGATATATCCCTTCATAGAGGCTTTATTAACTTCGTCTTTTTCTTCTTCTTCTTCTCATGCCCCTGTTTGAGCTCAGAGCTGCAAAATCTTCATCTCACAGTGCAGTACATTTTATCTACAATGCCATTTTATCTACAAAGAAGATAGAATAATCCCTTGTATGACAGACAGCTACATGCTGTTTTCGCAGGTACTCTTATACTATTCATTCAATTTTGTGTAGGAAATAATTTTGAATTTTGGCCATATGGCTGCCAAAGTGCCTAATCCTTTTAATTGTAACCACATGGGATCAGTAATGTTCGAAACTTCCATACATATGACCTCTGAAATTTTTTGTCCTTACCCAAGAAGACTAGTAGCTCGATCCCACCTACCCTACGATCGGGGGGTAAGGAAAACGTGAGAAAAATAACTTTATTTTGATGGGGATTAACCCCAGATCTCAAGGTTGACAAAAACACCACACCCATTGAGCTACTGAGCTCCCTTCTAATTAACTGAATTCAGTAATGCAAAAATAGGATTTCTGCTTTTTTTCAATCACGTAAAAACATATAAAGTAAAGAACAAAGGAGAGAATGAAATCTGTCTGAGAAGGTGTATTTAAAAGAGTGCACATATTGTATGGGAGAGCTTAGGGTCGATATCAAAAGTGTTGAGTAACATTTTCAAGACAGTTATAACTTCTTTCATGACACATATTTTTGAGTTACTTACACTAACATTATTTGAATGATTTACGCTGTATTGTTTTCCAAAATTATTCTCATTTTTCTAAATGTAAACTTTCATTATCCAAAGTCTCTCACACTTTGGAAGACACCCCATTTTCTTGCTAATTTTACCACTGAAGCCAGGCGACCCCCACCTCCTTCAATCACAAATATCTCGACTTCCATCCATGATAGACGAGTACTTTTTTATCGAAAGCAAGAAAAAAGAAAAGCATTTAGATAACACCGTGCAGTAACTCCATATGCCCAAAAATTGACAATGCCTCATGACTCCATACCATCATGACACAGATTGCCAAACCTGCGGGAAAATGTTATTTTCTTTGTTTGATTTCATTATTTTGATGAGAGCCTGATTTCACCATTACGCCTCACAAATATGCATATAT